CTCCTTGTTTTCTGGCTTCTCTGGCGTTGTGATCTGTAGACTGATTATATTTTGTTTTATGTCTAATATCTACTTATGATTAAGTACATATGATATTTGTGTTTCTGTGTCTGGTAACCTCACTCAGGATGGTGTCTTCTAGTTCTTTCCATTTTCCTGTGAATTTCAAGATGTCATTTCTTTTTTACAGCTGAGTAGTACTCAAATGTGCATATGTGCCACATTTTTTTCACCCATTCTTCAGTTGTTGGACATCTGGGTTGAGTCCAGATTCTGGCCATTATGAATAATGCTGTGCTGACTATAGGTGAACATGTGTTCTTGTGGTAGGATTGAGCATTCTTTAAAGATATGCTCAAAAGTGGGAATGCTGGGTCTTGAGTTAGATTGAGTGCCAATTTTCTGAGAAGATACTATACTGATTTCCAAAAGTGGCTCTATGCGTTGGCACTCCCACCAGCATTGGAGGAGGGTTGCCCATTCTCCACATCCTCTCCAGCATAAGTTTTCATTAATATTTTTGATCTTAACCATTCTAACAGGTGTAAGATAGTATCTCAGAGTTGCTTTGATTTGCATTTCTCTGATGACTAAAGATGTTTTTTTGCTTCTTTGTTTTTGCAAACTTGTCAGAATTATTAATTGCAACTAAAGCTTTAGTTAAGTTCTAGTTCCCAATTTAGGTATGGTCAGGAACCTCAGTTGTATTGTAACACAAAAATATTATATAGCTACATACTATCTTAATGCATACAAGCATGAGCACAGATACAAATTGTGCTGACTAACTTCATATTTTTAATATCAGCTTAAAACAGGCTACAGAGAAGGGAATTCCAGTTGATATAATGCCTCCATGACAATGGACTTTGGGCAAGCTTGTACAAGCTTTTCTTAATTATTGATGAGGGAGAATGGCAGATTACTGTTGGCAAGATTTTCCCTGGGCTGCAGGTGGTGGCTTCTATAAGAAACCAGGGCAAGAAAGCCATGAGAACAATCCTGTAAGAAGGAATCCTCCATGGCCTCAAGGTTCCTGCCCTTGCACGTTCCTAACCTGTCTTTCTTTGATGATGAACAATGATATGGAAATGTAAGTAAATAAATGCTTCGTCACATGTTGCTTTGGTCAAGCAGTTTCCTCACAGCAACAGTACTCTTAACAAGACAATTTAGTATCAGGATAGTGGGTATCACCAGGATATGGCTGTAACACAACTGATAGTGATGTTTTGGGGAGAATGGTGGAAAGATTAGGACCTTTGGGCTAGAAAAGACACTGAGTGTTGAGAGCCCAATGACCTGTTCTATAGCTTGGAAGGTAAGAATGTTGAGATGATGAAGGCCTGGGTTGTGATGTTTCAGAGGAAAGCAAAGACCCTATAGACCATTTGTGTGAAGAGTCTGTGATATCTGGTCAGCTGGACTTGATCAATTAATTAGATGTGATTAGCCAGAGACCAGAACCACTAAAGTAAAATCCTTGCTTTGCTGGCACAATGTTTCTCGTCAGGTCATGTTGAAAATCAACTGTGATTATGACGACACTACCATCATTGAGACAGTCTTCTGAGAAGTGTTGATTAGAGGTACCCCAAATATTTTATGTTGTTTAAGACTATTGTGAAGCATATTGTGTCTCTGACATCTTTCTCAACCTGTTTGTCATCTACATATAGGAGGGCTACTGAATTGCTTTTACATTAATCTTGTATTGCTACATTACTGAAGGTGTTTGTCAGCTTAGAATATCACTGATAAAAATTTGGGGGGTCACATCATCCTCAAATAGGGAACGTATCTTCTTCCTTTCCGTTTTATATCCACTTGATCCTCTTTTGCTGTCTTCTTGCTCTAGCTAGAACTTAGAGTACCATATTTAACAGATCTTATTCCTGATATTAGTGGAATTGAATTTCTCTCCATTTAGTTTGATGTTGGCTGTTTGCTTGCTGCATATTCTCTTTATTAAGTTTAAGGATGTTTGTTTTTATTTATCCCTAGTACTTTGGGAGCCCACTCCACACAGAGGGATACTCTCTCAGCCTAGACACACGGGGGAGGGTCTAGGCTCTGCTCCAAATGACAGACTTTGTAGATTCCCCCATAGAAGGCCTCACCATCCCTGGGGAGCAGAAAGGGGATAGTATAGGGGTGGGGAGAGCAGGGGAAGAGGGGAGTGAGAGGGAAATGAGTTTGACATGTAAATGAAGCTTGTTTCCAATTTAATATTGGTCTAAATACAATTATAAAAATAAAAAAAAAAGTTTCTTTTTTTTTCTTTCTTAGTTTTTGTTTTTAGAGACAGGGTTTCTCTTTATTGTTTTGGAGTCAGTCCTGGAACTCACTCTGTCGACCAAGCTGGGCTCAAAGTCAGAGATCTGCCTGCCTCTACCTCCCAAGTGCTAGGATAAAGGCTTCAGCCACAAATGCCCGACTCATTGATGTTTCTTGTATCAAGAAACATCCATTATCTTCCAAGACCTTTGTCATGAAGAGATGTTGGATTTTTGAGGAAGGGTTTTTCAGCATCTAATGAGATGATCATGTGGTGTGTTTTTCAGTTTATTTGTATAGTGGATTACACTGATGCATTTTCTTATATACAACCCTCCCTGCATCTCCGGGATGAAGCCTACTTCATCATGGTGGATGATTTTTCTGATATGTTCTTAGATTCAGTTTTACAGTATTGTACTGAGTACTTTTGCATCCATGTTTGTGAAAGAGATTGGTCTGCAATTTTCTTTATTGCATCTTTATGTGTTTTGTGTGTAGGGTAACTATAGCATCATAAATTTGACAGTGCCCCTTCGTTTCTCTTGTGTGGAACAATTTGAGGAGGATTAGTATTAGCTCTTCTTTAACATTCTGGTAGAAGTCTTCTGCACTGAAAATATTTGGTCCTGGATTTTTTGGTTGGGAGCCTTTTGATAACTATTTGTAGTTTCTTTGGAGTTATAGGTCTATTTAATTTTTTTATCTGGTCTTGATTTAATTTTCACATGTGGTACTTATCCAGAGAATTGCCCATTTCCTTGAATTTTTCCAGTATTGTGGAATATACGTTTTGAAGTATGACCTGTTTTTCTGAATTTCCTCAGTGTATGTGATAATTTCCCCCTTTTCAGTTCTGATTTTATTACTTTGGATATTCCCTATTGCCTTTTGGTTAGTTTGGATAAAGATTTGTCTATCTTGTTGGTTTGCTCAAAGAACCAACTCTTAGTCTCCGTGATTTTTTCTGTATAACTTTTTTGGTTTCTATTTTATTGAGTTCGGCCCTCAATTGTGTTACCAGAAATGACAAGATGTCTCTGTCTCATCCTTAATGCTGTTGGGTAGCTAGGGCATCTTGATCTACACTCCCCGACTCAGGGTCAGACCCAGGGCTGTTAGGTCATGTCTCCTCCCCCAGCTCTGGAGTCACAGGCACGCAGCCATACTAGACTTTACACCGATGCCGATAATGCCACGCCTATAGTAAAACAATTAGCTTTTGAAAGTGCCAACAAGTACAGCAAGGAGGCCTTACGGCCTCATAAGACCAGAAGCCTCAATGATTATATTCGAATTTATAGAGATATAGATGAACACCACATTATGGGACAAGTTATCGCTTCTGCCATGCAGAGTAATAAGAGGATCGGTAGGGGGCCCAGATTTAAGACATGTTTTGGATGTGGGCAAGGGGGTCACTTTAAGAAAAATTGTCCAGTTAAAGACTCTTTTGTACCTTCTCGCCCAGGGCCAGGTCTTTGTCCCCAATGTAAAAAGGGACATTATTGGGGCAATAAGTGTAGATCAAAGACTGATGTACAGGGTAACCCTATGACACTTCTGGGAAACCGGAGTAGGAGTCAGCTCCAGGCCCTTTATTCCCAGGTGAAAGGAGCCCTAGATACACCTGTTTCCCACCCTACTCATGTCCTACCCCGAGGAACACCTTTGTATCCAGGACCTTGTCAGAGATACCCCAAGAAGCACAGGACTGGACCTCTGCTCCACCTCCAGAGCAGTATTGACCCCTCAGATGGGACCCCAAGCTTTGGGCACGGGAGTTAAAGGCCCGTTACCACCGGGCTCAATTGGATTGATTTTAGGAAAGAGTAATGCTCTACTTCTGGGAGTTAGGGTTATTCGGGAGTGATTGATGAAGATACTGAAGGAGAGATCAAAATTATGGTGGAAGCTGGCAAGGGAGTCACTGTTATAACCCAAGGAGCTAGAATTGCTCAGTTAGTTCTGTCCCCTAAATTTACCACTAATAACACCTTCCTTAAGCCCGTAAGAGGAGAAGGGGGTTTGGATCTACGGGACATATGGCATGTTGTGTGTCATGCTTTCTAGCATACATGACATCTAGACTCAGTCCCCAATACTGAAGAAAAAAAGCAGTGTGCTACCTTCTGCAAACCTTAGTTTCTCTATCTGTATAAAGGGGCTCAGTGGTTAAAAGCACTGGCTGCCCTTTCAGAGGACCTGGGTTCAATTCCCAGCACCCACATGACCTCTTACAACCATCTATAAGTCCAGTTCCAGGGAATCCAATGCCCTCTCCTGGCCTCCATGTGCACTATGCATACATGTGGTTCATATGCATACATGCAGGCAAAGCATTCATACACAAAGATAAGTAAAGTAAAATATTTTAAGAGTCTGTTAAGCTTGGCGGTGGTGGTGCACGCCTTTAGTCCCAGTACTCGGGAGGCAGAGGCAGGCAGCTCTCTGTGAGTTTGAGACCAGCCTGGTCTACAAGAGCTAGTTCCAGGACAGCCTCCAAAGCCACAGAGAAACCCTGTCTCAAAAAACCAAAATAAGTAAGTAAATAGAGAAAGCAGGAACTATTTAGGAGTATGAGCAAAGGGAACAAGTTAGTAAACAGAAAACACTAACCGTGCTCCCACCAGTCCATACAAATATTCTGACCCCCAGAGCCACCAGGATTTGGGCTGCCTTCCCCTCAGCCCAGAGCAGCCCGTATGACCAAGGGTCCATACCTGTAGCCCAATGATGTTCCGACCTTCTCTCAGCTTCTCTGGCTCAAATCTCTGCTCTTGTTTCTCTGCATACTTGACCCTCACGTTGACCTTGTTTCCTTTTGTCTTGGCCTGCAAGGGGCAAAAAGGACATGGAACACAGATGAGCTAGCTTCCAGTAGGCCTCATTTCCCCTCACACACCAACACTTTTGGTGAGGCTCAGTGGCCTAAGTGTCCCTGTAGCATCTGACCTGAGATTAGCCCCAGCCCCTGCCCCGTGCCCACTCTTCCCATACACTCACCATGCTGGCCAGAGCCAGGAGAGTAGACTGAACCTGTGTATGGTTGGTGTTCTCAAACAGGTCGTTGGCCTCAAAGATGTCGTGGGGTTTCACTCCATACTTGGTAATGGCTTTAATGAAATTACCTATGTTCTCCAGCTGTAAGGGAAGAGGCCTGATCAGGGATGGGAGGTGGAGGGCTGAGGGGCAGATGGGTAAGGGATAGAGTGAAACTCCTGTAACTCCAGCTCCAAGGGATCTAGAGACCCAATGCCTCCTGGGCTCTGTGGGCACTTGCCCATACAAATGTACACACACACACACACACACACACACACACACACACACACACACAAATAAAGGAAATCTTTTTAAAAAATAAATATAATAAAATATAATGAATATAATATAATGGTCTGAATGTGTTTCAAAGGACATGCTGGGATGCATAACTTTTGAATGTACACTATGTAAACAAGGCCTTAACATGCTCTGATATCCTTTGAATTCATGAATTGTTGTAGTGTCAAGTCAAATACAGAAACAGCAGTGGTTAGAGGCAAGAAAAAGCCATTATTTACCAGCCAGGCCACTTGCTCTCTCTTGTCTTAATCCCTGTCTTTTAGCATTTTTCTCATTTTTATTTATAAGTCTTTCTAGTTTTTCTTCTAACGTTTGTCTTTTATCAACCCACCTTATATATTTTTCTTTTTCTTATATTTCTAAAGTTTTTTCCTTTGAGAAGGTGCAGAGGGCCACTATGGTTATTAAGGATAAAATATGGGGGCTGGAGAGCTGGCTCAGCAGGTAAGAGCACTGACTGATCTTCCAGAGGATCTGGGTCCAATTCCCAGCTCCCACACGGCAGCTCATAACTGTCTGTAACTGCAGTTCTGGGGGGCCTGACACTCATGGCGAAAAACCAATGCACTAAAAATGCTTTAAAAAAATTCAGGACAGTGTTGGCACAGGCCTTTAATCCCAGCACTCAGGAGGCAGAGATAGGTGGATCTCCTCTGAATTTGAGACCAGCCTGTTCTACAAAGTGAGTTCCAGGACAGCCAATGCTACACAGAGAAACCCTGCCTCAAAAAAATAAAAATAAAAATAAAATATGAACTACCAGAACGATAGTAATCAATCTATATTAAACCAATTTCAGTTAAGTCATTTATTTTTTCATTTTCTGTTTTCTTGGTTACTTTCCATTTACAGTGATAAAGCACCATGACTAAGACAATTTATAAAAGAAAAGCATTTAATTTGGAGTTTGCAGTTTCGTTGGGTGATGAATCTACGGTGGTGGAGCAAAAGCATAATGGCAGGTCCATTGTGATTTGAAAGTTGGAAGCAGAGAAATCCAGAATAGATTGAGACTTTTGACTCAAAGACCATACCTAATACGCACCTCCTCCAACAAGGTCACACCTTCTAATCCTTCCCAAACAGTTCCAGGAATTAGGAACCAAATATTCAAATATATGAACCTGTAGGGGTCATTCTCATTGGAACCACCACAGTAGTGATGTTGGTGTTCAGGCATCTGTATTGGCCTGTCTTTGGGGTTCTGACAGGATACGCCCTCAGCTGAAGCCACTAAGAGCACCTCCTATACACATTCACTACATTCCCTTACGAAACGGCCCTGTCCTCCTCCCATCTCTCTTTCTGCCTCTTCCTCTCTCTCTTTCTCACACACACACACTCTCACTCCCCTCTCTCTGCTTCTCTGCCTGTCTCTGTTGTCATGTGCCCCCCCCCTTCTCTTCTACTGCTCCTGTCTGCAGAGGCTGGTCTTCCCCCTCCTGTCCCCAGAGGCCGGTCTCCCCTCTTCCCTCTCCTCGTTTTCACCTAATTAAAAAAAACCTTCACATGAGTGCTGTTGTACGGTGTCTTTTTTTTTCTCTCATGCTGCTTTTTAAAATTACAAGTGATTTAACTGCTCCTGGGCCAGCTAGCATAATATATGCAAACAAGACATCCTGACTCAAACAGTTTGTGATAGGCCAACAGCTGGAGGTTGTTCTTTGATCTCCACACTTGCAATGGCACAGGCTCTGTCCCTCCCTCCCTCCCCCCC